ATATTACTAATACATGTATATGTATAATATTACTTATTTGCTTAACAAATTTAAAAAAGAGAGTATCCATATGCATGAATAGAGAAATTTTTGCGAAAAAGAAGAGTTTCAGCGAATTACCTAATCATTACATGGCAGCGCTCCATTTCGTCGTAATTTTTGGTAAACAAATGAGGTTAAAACGAGTGTAAAATGTTATTTTTAAAATAAAGATTTTCCAGGTAAAAAAAACCTGCTAAAAGTGTAAAATGTGGATTTATTTAAAAGTTTATAGTGTAATTTGATTAATTTGAAGTGAAAAATGTGAATAAAGTGTGTTTAATGTGGTGAAATAGCGTCTTGAAATTATTAAATTTTGCGAATTTTTCAACTTTAAGGTCGAATATCTCGTAAACTAAGCTTTTGCGGTACCTATAACCCCATATAGTTTTTTAATCAGAAGGACTTCCAACGGTACCTTCAAATCGCGGCGCCAAAGAAATCGGAATTGTGCCTATAGCTCGACACCCTCGCGCAGATTCGTTCAAGATACTATAGTACCTACTTATCCAAAATCGGGCTCGACATACTAAATACACGCCCAGCGGCATTCCAACGAGTCACCGCATGACTCTAACCACCTCTTTGCATGTACAGCAAATAACACCACAATTCCAATGGTCACACCGTGAACACCGTCAAAATAAGTTGAAGAACACAACTGTAGAAGACGTCGTTGACAAAGCGTGAACTAATCACTTTTGTAACAAAAGTAAACATCGCTAAGTTCATTTGGAGGAATGCTGCCGAGTTGACAGTCCAACCTTATAAAAATCCTCTTCGGTTACGTGCACCTCCCTGTCGTGAGAATGGAAGCCAACCGCTAAATATTGTAGATATAACACAATTTGAATATCAGTACACTTTATAGCAAGACTAATAATAATATTAATTATTCGACCTCGTTTGCAAATGTGTTCTTTTGAACTGAAAAGTAATACTTCAAAAATTCTAGTTTCTTCCAGCAACATAAACTACTGTTCACACGATGAACGGACCTATTTATCAAGCACGAAGAAAACAACAATACATTACATGACATTAAACTGCACTTCTAAAGTCTGTAAGACCTGCAGTTACAAAGTAATGACTCATCATTCTCAATTCGTTGATGGCAGCATAAGTTCATTGTTTTTGTGTATACTTGTATATTTGCATATAAAATATATAATATATAATATTTAACACTTTAGTAGTATGCTCAAATTAGATAATATTCACAATATATAAAATACTATAAAAGAACAAATACAAAATTAATTGAATCGTACAAGAACAAAAGTACCCAAGTTGTAAATACATGTATGAAATAAAATTGCTAGACACAATTCTACTTCAAAAGATTGCACTATTGAATATTTTAAATACACGGACATAATCACATTTTCTTTACAATTTTGAATAACTTCATTTGCAATATATGCTGCGTTTGCATTCAATGCATGTAGGTATACATATATGTGTATATATATAAAAAAAATTAAAACTCATTATGCATAGGAAATACATTAATTGTTCTTCTGATTTCTCTGTCACTACCACCACATAAAATAGCACAAACATGTGCCGTTTTGCAGCTTGGGCACTGACGTTTTTGCCGATGCAATTAGAATTATGAAGATATGAAATTTGTTTTGGATATTCTGTTGTGCAGTGCTGCTTCTCTATTGTTTCTATTGTAATCTCACACACATACAGTAAAGCAGTTACATAAAAGCGGCCGTGGCTTAGCGATCAACGTTTGTAGTTAACGAATTTATTCAAACTGGCGATAACCTTCTTGCAGCCTATTAACGACATTCGAATAGAACTTAATTTGCTCTTCTATAAAAGATTTTAGCGCCTGTTTCATATGCGTATCACGTTCTTCTTTAAAATGCGACATTTCTGCCATTACAGCGTAAGAAATAACATCGGTGCGACGATTCACATCGGTCATTTGGGCATTGCTCATCTTCTGCTCAGAAGTTAAACGTTCGCATTCTTTGCGTTTTTGCATTGCACCCTTATGCGTTGAGAGAATGTCAGGAAAACTGTTGAGGACGCCTCTGCAAAAAAAAAATTATATATAAATTGAAGCACTTATGTACATACTTATATACGCGTACTTATGTATGTACGTATATATTTTTCAGTAATGAACAAGATTGATAAGTGAGCTAGAAGGTGAGAAAACAAGCACATATGACAATAGATAAGCTTTTAAATGCAAAAACGATTACGCACAGAAGATACTGACACAAGATCCCTGCAATAAATCTGCTATGCATATATACCTCTACTGAGCCTAACTTTCGTATTACCTGTAGATATGTAAACGGTCCGAAAATGGTATCCAGTCCAATTTAGGTTGGTCACCAAATAGTTGCCCAATACCTATGAAAATACCACCGACGCGCCCAACACTTTCCGATAGCGGTGTTGTTTTTGAAGGTGCACGACGTTCGTCTATATTTAAGGCCTTTGCCAAGTCCGACATACCATCACCAATACGTTGGAATTCTTTTTTACATTGTGTTTGATAACGTTTCGCCGTATCATTGGATAATACTAAGAGATTTCGTACGGAAATATCCATTGCATGCGTGAACTGTAAACAACTTTCTATTTGAGCATCTACAAGCGATGGCAACAATGTCTTTTCAGGCGGTGATATGGCCCAACAATAAGAGACTCCCACATAAGTGTCACGTTCGGCTTTCCTTTTACCCGATTTCCACATCTTGTCATCGTTGCAGGTCAAGAAATGATGCCAAACCTCACATTGTGACAGTACAGGATGACGACAAACCCAATCTACGAATTCTTGCAATTGAACCCGGCGATGTTCCACAAATTGTTCCTCATAACGTCCAGAAATTTGTTTATCTGGCAGCGGTGGTATGGGGATGAGGCAAAATTTCTCCACCAAACGTTCATGTAGCCAATCAAAATGTTTGTACCGTCTTGACACCTGCAACAAAATTGTGTTCAATTTGACGCAAGGAAAAACTTGTGCGATGAATTTAAAACTTACAGATATATTGTTAAAACTGGGTGTCAGTTGGTACGCAATAAAAGTTTTCATTCCTTTAAATTTAGACTCTTTTTTGGGACTGGCTACTAATACAGTGTAACGTTGATGATTAGTTTGCCAATAACAAAAACTTTCCACATATGCAATATGTACAATTTCGTGTTCAGAAAGTTTTTCCTTATTTCCCAATCCCAGTATATACGAATCTGAGCTTTTACCGAACATCCCAGACTTTTTTAAAGTTGCTGTGTTGTTCGGCGCAGCTGTAGATGCTAATGAGATAGTGTCGTCCATTGGTGCTGCTGGCAGATTTTTGTTATCATAATTGCTAGCGGAATGTGTTAATTGATTAGCAAGACCTGTGTGATTAATAGTTTTTGCCCCACCACTAGGCCCTATTTCCGAGTAAGTCTCGTTGTCATCATCCCAATCATCCTCCCAATCATCATATTCATCAGCAGTTTGATCATATCGGTTCGACGGGTCAGATGTTGTCGCAGCAGGCAATGCAACAGGACTACTAGCACTAGCTTGCTGATTGTGTTTCTGTGCTTCGGCCGCCGACATTACCTCCACATATGCCGCTGGAAAGAGACCAACTTTTCCTTGACTATTTTTCCCCTCCCACCAACCTTCTCCAACGTCTGTTCGAGTCACTGCCAGGATTTCACCAACTTTAATTGAAATCTCCGACGATCCTGGCTCGCCAGAGAAATCGTACATTGCTCGCACATATGATGTCATTATAAAATAAATTAATAATATGAGTTTTTAAGCAATTCTCATACAAAAATAAATTATCAATCTAGCAATGACAAATAGGTGTTGTTCGAAAGTCGTAATCTTCAAAATGATTCAAGTGGTTTACACAGAGTTGCATTTTTATGTAAACAATCGAATCTACTCAGTGATGAAGTGCTTAGCATGTAACCGGTTCAAGAATGATTAATATGACAGTAAAGTAATCAATATGTCTCAACCAATACCATTGTCCAAAACATTGAAAAAACTATCGCAGAACCCCAGACACACTTATCTTTTAACATTATATTTATATATATATTATTAAACATTATACAATTATTAATAAAAAGGTAGACTATTTTCATAATAACATAATTTTGGTTTTGAAATTTTAATTACGAAAAATTATAACTGAAAAGTTAACCATTTATAGAAATTGAGCAATGGCCCTCACATAAGTCATCACCCAAACTATTATTATGTTTTTGTTATTTGTGAGGTTTTTCATATGCTCAGTTGATTAAAAAAGCTCAAATGCTCGCAATTTCCCCATTAATTGTTGATGTCTGACTGCAAACCTCACAATGTAAAATTATAACAGATTTATCCGAATCGCGCCACTCGTTAACGAGCGAAATTCATGTTTTTTTTTCGGATCTTTGTACTCGCTATTTGAGAGAAGTTATAATACAAATTAAAAGCAAAAAGTTGTAAATAAATCAATTACAAAAAATCGGAGGCAAAATTAAAGTTATTTTTTTAAGCTATGGTATCCATTGGCTAAAACTTAGCGCTGCCGTGCCACGGATGAAAGATGCTAAAACTTGGCGAAAATTAAGATCAATAATTAACAATAATTGAATAAATAACATAATAAATGATTAAAATTAATAACTAAATACACAAATAGATATTTGCTAATCAAAAGCACAATATAACAAAGCTTCGAAACAAAGGACTGGCGGTGGTCCACACAAGCTCTTAACTGTAGCCGAAGACCAATTCCTAGAAATTACGGGGATAAAAGTAGCAGTGGAACGGTTAACAACATTCATCATGGAAAGGTATAGGATCCAACAACGAGTCGAAATTATAAAAACTTACTACAGAAATCCAATGTCAGTGGCCTCAATTTTAAGAGGGAGTTTTTCAATAAGAGCGATAGAAAATCTTTTATTTTTAACGTTACTGTGAATGGGAATCGTTACCGCTTAATAATAACCGAATTGGATGATATGGACTTAGACAAAGTATGGTTCCAACAGGATAGCGCCACAAGCGAGATAATGTGTTATCTCACGGAATGACGCAGTCCATTGGCCGCCTCGGTCGTATAATTTGACGCCGTTAGACTATTTCCTGTGGGGCTACGTCAAGTAGTAATTGCAGCAATATCGGTTATTTATGCTTGAAACCCGTTGAAAATTGGATTCAGTATCTGAACTTCTGTAAGCGTGCCCGTGGTGGCAATGCAAAAGAAGTTGAGTTGAATACATAATGGCACCAAATGTACTTTCATAGGAATAAACAATTTCATTGATATTCCAAACCGTTTTTGTTTTATTAAAAAAAAAAATTTTTTGTACCGCTCTTATTGAAAAACCCTTATATGAAAGCACCAAATGTAAAGAATTTGCAAAATTACTCATTTTCTTTGGTTGTCCGTTTCTTTAGTTTGCCTTGTTTGTTTTTTTAAAAAAGTAGATTCACAGCAAAGTACTTTTCACCTCATGTGATGAGTTTTTTATACTTTTTTCTTGTGAGGTTACAAAATAAACCTCACAAATCAGTTGAGAATAGAAAAGGTCCAACAATGGACACACTTGTAAATTGTGAGGTTTTGAGTTTTTGAAATAACCTCACAAATAACAAAAACCTCACAGTAGCGAGGGTAGTGATTTTTGCGAGGACATCTGAATAGGGCTGTTAGTTTTGATGTATACATATTGAGCGTTTGACAACATTACTCAAATGTGATCAAGAGAGAATCACAACGGAAGGAATTCACAAGTTGCACTATAACAAAATGCGTTGAGCGTGTTCACCACAGCTAGCTCAGAAGGAGAAAATTTAACAGTGGCGCGTTAACAGAGTTGAGCCAAAGAACATACATAATCTGGTTTGAGCATTATAAAATTGCGAATTTTTAAGCGTACATTTCTAGACATTGAAATTAGCATACTTTTTTCATTTAACACTGAAAATGCTCGATTCTGTTATTTTCATGCCCTGTTGTCCGCCCCGTGAACCTCTATGATATACGTTTTCTACCTAAGCTTTGCTACTTGTGTTGTTGTTGTAGCGGCAGAATTCTGCCGAGTTGACAGTCCTTGGCCGGATAAAAACCCGGTCCGTTCCAGTTACGTAGACGCAACTGTCGTGGGAATATTGCTACTCGAATATTCTGGGAGCTACGAACTTCGGTGTCTAGTTAATTTAGGCAATTTATTGTCGATTCGATTTTGTTCTAACATCTATGTTCGTCACAATATTGTACGAATTTTGGCAATATTACGATTCTTCCGGCGCCGCGATTTGATGGTACGGATGGATAGAGGAGCTCCTCAGGATTAAAAAATGTATGCACATATACGGTTCTCAGACTCATAGTTTTCGAGATATTTCACTTTAAAGTTCAAAAATTTGTAGAAACAATGCTCGTTATTTCACTATGTTTAACCCACTTTTCACACATTTTTTAATTAATATATATTTAATTACACCGTACACATTCGTATATATCAAAAATTTAAACTAGTTGTATATTTTTAAGAAAATAAATATACTTTAAAAACCATTTTGCACATTCAAAGTTTCAAGAGATTTGTGTGCTTACATTTATGACAATTAGCAGTGTTGCCATACTTTGTGTCCTGAAAATATAATCAAAAATCTGTTTCATACTTAGAGATATAAATAATTCAAAATGAAATATTGTTTCATATATTTATATGGATTATATTACATATATTACGTAAAAAATATAGAAAAATATTAATATACTATATTTAGTAAATACCGGTTTTATATTGCCAACAAAAAGAAGTATGATCACCCCGGTGTTGGACCGATCAGGGTTATTTTTTTGAAGCGCGGCCGGTTTATTTTTTTGAAGCGCGGCCGAAGGCCGCCAGTGCAGAAAATAGTTTGACACAAAAGAACTATGATCACCCCGGTGTTGGACCGACCAGGGTTATTTTTTTGAAGCGCGGCCGAAGGCCGCCAATGCAGAAAGTAGTTTGACATAAAGTAATATTATTTTTTATCCTTATTTATCATATAACATAAGATACAACAAAAACTTGTACCATTCTCTCAATATATGCTAAACAGAAAATTATTTAGTAGTTTTTTCAAAACACAATATGTGGCAACACTAGTACTTGTCATGACATGTAAAGAAAAACAAAATAAGAGTGAATTCCATACAAAATTGTGGAACTTTAAAGTGAAATATCTCGAAAACTATGAGTCTGAGGACGGTATATGTGTATACATTTTTTAATCCTGAGGAGCTCCTCTATCCATCCGTACCATCAAATCGCGGCGCCGGAAGTATCGTAATCGTGCCCAAGTATCATATAATATTTAGTTAT